CTGACCCTGCAGCACAGGCTTCTGCGGTTTAGCCCGCAGCGCCACCATGTCCCTTTCCAGTTGTAGTACATTGTGAGAATATTTCAGTACTGCTTCCACAGAGTTTTTGCCACTGCAGATACCTCTAAGCTGTCAGGAACCACTGCTCGCTACTGCCTTCAAGTGGGAAAGGCATCAGACCAGAGAATGCTTTGAGCAACCAGGGTCGGACCTACCTTCCCAGAGCTGCAGGCTCTGAGGTGCCACGGACGGCCAGATGACGAGGCTGTTGGCCTCAAAGAGAGGGTTCTTCAACCGGCTGAGCTCTTCGGGACGATTCACCCAAGACCAAAGGGACATTGTCTTTTGCGGCAACTTGAGCTTACACCTGGAGGAGAGATGGGCCATCAGCACAGGGACTTGGGGGGAAACAGCAAAGTCATTGGCTCTCTTGATCACAGGTCTCTTGAGGATTTTTGGAAGCACCAAAGAATCCTCTCTCTTTATACCTCTCCCCACCCCTGGCTAGGTTTTGTTTTTGGTGCAAATCCACAGTCAGTCTGATGGGGAAGGGTTTTCCCCCTCTGTACCAGAGCCTGAGAAAAATTACCTTTTTTGGATGGCCGTTGGTTCATTTATTTATTATTTACAATATTTTTTTTATCCTGCCCAGAGTGGTAGAATATACCAGATGGGCGGGATATAAATCAAATACAGTGGTGCCTTGCTTAGTGAGTGCCCCATTTAACGATGTATTCGCTTAGCGATGAGGTTTTTGGAGTGATTTTGCGCTCCATTTATCAATGTTCCCTATGGGGAAATTTTGCATAGCGATGTTCGGGATCTTGCCTCGCTTAGCGATAACAGTTTAGGTCCCCCTGTTTCGCTTAGCGATGTCCATTTTCGCTATTTTAAGTGTGTCTTAAAATGTTCAAAAACTGTTTTAAATGCTTGGGATCATTAGTGCATCTTGTGAAACCTTTGCAAACTTAATTTGGCTGTTCTGAGTCTTCATTAATTCTTGGTGAATTTTCCCCCCCCCATTGGAATGCACTGAACTGTAGGTTTGACAGCTATCCGGTTTTCAATGCATTCCTATGGGAAATGGTGTTTCGCTTAGCGATGTTTTCTCATAGCAATGTTTTTTGGGAACCAATTAACATCGTTAAGCGAGTAACTTGTAATCAATAAACCTGCTTCTTTTTAAAAGCTCAGTACTGAATGGCCCTCAGTCTTTCGTAGGAAATATAGGTTGATAAAGAGATCAGCTTGTGGCAGCGTGTTAAAGGGTGTGTTGGGATACTCGTGTGAGCTCTGTGTTTGGTGACAGAAGGACAAGCAGGGGCCACAATTGGTGTCGGCAGCTAAAGAGGGCTACACTTTATCTGGCTTCACAGCAGCCACTATGTTTCTTGGTCTGACACAACCTTCTTGCCTCCAGACACAAAATAAATTCTATTTTCAAGCCTCTGCTTTTTATTTTCCTATCACCTCAGATCTGCTTTGACCCTGGCTTCCATTTTTTATCCACCAGTGCTCCCTTATCTCTCAGAGCCTTGGATTTCAAGTGGGGCTGGAGGGCCGAAAGGTTATTGCACAAGTGCTCATGGGGTGGCTAGCAGCCTGCGGACCAGATGTTGCCCACTGCTTTTGTGTTACAGATGGGCCAAGAGGTATTCAAAACCAAGGACCGTCAGCTGGGCTTTCCCAGTCAAGGTAAATGAATCCAGTTAATTAACCAAAATAAAGAACCCGCCCTGTTAAAGGCCCCTTCTGCAGGAAACGAAGCCAGCTGCATAAGGTCTGCTGGAAGAAAAGCACAAAATGGTTGTAATTGTTTCTTTGGGCTGTTTGTCCATGTTCCAGAGGTTTTCCTTCCTAATGTTTCGCCAGTCTCTGTGGCCGGCATCTTCAGAGGACAGGAGTTAGAACTCTGTCTGTGTTCCGGCGTTGTGTGTGGGATAGCTGAGTGGCCGTGAAAGCCTTCGAGAACACAAAAGCCCATCTACCGCCCCACAGCACTCAAAGTACTCTCTGGGCGGTTTA